TTTTTTTTTTCTTCAATTACATTAGATGGCTTCTTCTTAAGTAATATTTCTATTATGTCAGTGTTTGACAATGTCACGCCCCAAACCCTAGAGCGAGACAGATGCCATGCACTGTTAAACGGGACCCATGAATGCACAAGATTCGGAACTTACTGAGTTCTTACTTAGCAATTCAGACAATTCAGATCTAAACCTTTTTATTTACTAAATATTTCACTACAAGAATTCACTGTATCATCGACCAGAAACCATGTCGGAGAAAGAGGGAATCTGGTCGGTGAAACGATATACCCACTTGCATCACGTCGGTAATGGCTGCCTTGGTAAAGCCCAGCTCGGTAATTAAATCACCGAGGTAGATGAAAATCACGTCGGTAAACGCACTCACAATTACCGACAAAGAACATCTTGCAAATAGGAGCCGGAACAGTTAACCGGAAAACATCTCTGGTTCCACGTCGGTAAATTACCGACAAGGATAACGTCTGGACATTACGAGGCGCCTCGAGCCCTGCGCTTATCACCGACGAACATCACGTCTGCCAATGCCACGGAAATAGTAGGCCGTCTTGCTACATCACCGACAAGAGCCACGTCTGACAGTGAAGATCTCGCTGCAGGTTCAAATCGTCTCCAAAATTTTAGGCGCCAATTGTTTACGCGCGATTTTTGATTTTTCTAGTTACCGACGAGAGTCACGTGGGTAATTAACCTTGAAAAAATAAAAAAATATATGTTGAATTCAGCTTATCCCCAAAATTTTGGGCGCCACTTTTTTCAGCGCCAATTTTTTATTACTGTTTACCTACTTACCGACAAAAATAGCGTCGGTAATGAACCCTGAAAAAATATAAAAAAATGTCTTGAATTCAGCTCATATTAAAATCAATATATATATTTATTATTTAATTAAATTAATTTACGATCAAACATTAAGTAATTCGTAATATTTAATATTATAAAAAATAAATATAATATGAAAATTTTATAATGTAATCAAAAAATTATTTATTTATTTTTTTAAATTAAAAATTAAAACATAATTTAAAAGAAAAATAAAATGACAAAATTAAAATAGAATTAGATAACTTAAAATTTTAATTAAAGATTACCTCAATAGATGAAGATTTGCAAAACACCATTTCCTAAGAAAATAAAAAAACATAAATTAAGTTAGTATTTATCTATAATTAATTTCAACCCTAATTTCTCTAATGGCTTATATAAATAAAATTTACACAAAGAAAATTTACTTACCTCATTGATTATCTCCCTAATGTTTCCTGGAAAACAAATAAGATAACATAAATTAATATTTAATCAAATAGGGAGAAATAATGAAAGAAAAAAAATTAAAAGGGAGGAGATTGAAAATATCAACCTAAAATTATATCAATAATGTAATTATAAACATATATAAACAGTTAATCCAGCAGCATTGAATGGAAGAAAAAGAGGAGGCAATAGCCGGAGGAGCTAGAAGAAGAAGAAGAAGAAGAAGAAGAATAAGAAGGAAGACAAGAAGCAATAAGCCGGGTAGAGTGCTGAGGGTTATATATATGGGAACGTACCCATGTGTACGTAGTCGGTGTTTTAATCACCGACAAAGATCACATGGGCAGATGACCGAGAGCGAGATACCAAATTTTTTGCAAAACGCGCCCAAATTACCGACCAGCCTCCCGTCGGCATGGTTTTGGCGTCTTCACCGACAAGATGCAAGTTGGAAAAGCAATTCACCGACTAGCAGTACGTTCCCAAATTGGCCGGTATCCATTTCCCAGCTTCCTCTCCAGATTTCGTCCATTTTGGCTAAGTTACTTTCCAGATTTCATTTTCATGCCATTTGCTGAATTTTTGTAACAGATTTCTTACATGTTAGTGGACATAAAATTTTAAAAAAATTATCAAAATTCTCCCGTATATATGATAAAATGTATTTTTTCTTTAAATCTGCATTTGCAATACTATAACTTTGTGATAAAAAATGCAATAATTCCAA